TTTTGAGAAACCGAGTACGAGAATTGTATCAAATTAGGAGGTGAAAATCGTGTAGTCCCGTAAAATAAATATTTTACAAATCGTTTGCCAATTTTTCACAAACCGGTTTAAATGTGGGCTTGGCTAATTATTCAAACTGTGTAAATGAGCAGCACGCTATGAGATTACCTATTGTAACGTTTTATTTATTAAATAAATTTAACACTTTTACCCTATTTAAGCTTTGGAAAATACATCAACGACGTTTATTTTATAATGTGAAAATATACTTTTTGATAGAAGAAGTTCACATTTATTTAGACTTTTAAACCCCGATGTGTGTTTAATTAAAGTACACTTTAATGGTGTTTTCACCTGAGATTTCCTCCGAAATAAATTCGGACAATTTTTAATTCAAATTTGAGAACATGTTTATAAAAGCTGTTAGAAAGAGATATTATCCTACATCTAAATACTACTAGTCAGGAACTCGATAGAAGGAAAACGAAAGCCCAATCAGGCATTTATAAGCCTATTGGGCCAATGAGACTGATTGTACTCGTTTCGGCAAACCCTGAGTTATTGCAGATTTAAAAAATAGTAATGGTATTGTGTTATCATATTTCTACTATTGTCTTTTGGAACAACAAATCTAGGTGACAATTTACTTTAATCCAAAAGGCTTGCACATTTTTATGTATATTTCTAGTCAATAATCAGATACATAAAATGGTTTTATTTTAATATTTTACTATACCGCATTAAAATCATCAGTTGCCAAAATAGATGCTAAAACCGCTTAGAAGTCAAATCTTACTTTACTGTCTATATAAAATGTCTCAATCTTGAACTTCGCAACGTCTGTATAATGATCAGTGTCCCGTTGGAACTGAATTGACTTGGCTATTTTAAATAATTATTGATTTATCAATATCGATATCATCGTCTATGGAATAGCTTGATTGTTTACAATGGCAATTTAGAAACTTATTTTAGCTCATTTCAATATCAAGTTATATTTAATTTATTTACTTTATATATATAATATATATTTTTAGATTATTTGATGCTCATCATCTTATCTCATTAAAAAATCTGGTTAACGAATTATTGATAAAGCTGCTAGCAATCGTTGTATTAGTAACATATTTCCCAAATGTTTTAAACATGTGAACAACAGTGTGAAGTACAAATGTGGTTTGTTGAATTTCAAAAATAATTTTTATTGTATGGTTTATTTAAAGTTTGTAAAAGTCCTTAAATAAGATCTGCTTAGTGTGGACACCAACCGTCTTAATTTGAGTAAAATAATTTAAACGAATGTGCTTTAAAATAAAACTTTTAAATAAAACTGTTGCTTTAGTATTTCAAAATTGAAAGCAGTGTTATTAAAAAAAATATATATTATTTAAAGCTGACATATAAGCACGAATAACTCATAAGTTACGCATTGTTTATATGTACAATTATTAACTTTAGTTAAACATTCCTTTTAATTGAAAAAAAAAAAAAAATTATCAGAATAGTTTTAAATGAAACACAGTTAAAAACACAACTAATAAATAAAAGCTGGTATCAGAATCGATATTGAATGAAGAATAACTACGCCATGTATATTTTACTTTTCAACAATATTCCAAAAACAACTATTGAGCGCGTCATTTGAAAGTATATATTTTAATTTAAACTGGTCATTTTCAATTCCAAATATTGGGGGTCAGTAAGATCTTAAAATTTAATTTTATAAGCACATTGCTTCAGTACAATCTAGACCAATGGTAGACCACAAACTTTTTTTAGCTTATAAAGTTCTGGAAGACAATGTAAATTTTTGAAAAGTACTACAGATTATTTACCGATTTTTAACAATATTCAACATTATTTGCATTGATAAATAGTTATTTTTTATCAGATTGTGATTAATGTGAAATTTTTGCTGATAGTTTTAGCAGCGTATAGCTTGATAAAAATAATGAAAAAATCCAACAAAATGCATAATAGGCCCGTGAAGAAAGGATTTGAATGCTTGTAATGTAGGTTGATAACTAATAGTATCAGGAATAACCATTTATGCAATATGACAACACAATACCACTTGAACTTGTGATCATTAAAATGATTTTGAGAGAAACACTTTTTATATATATTTTAAATTCTTTTGTTGAAATCATGAAGTCGAAATGTTACTATTTTTATGCCTTACCACATTTACATATGTCTTGTCTTGTTATAAAATATGGGTGGTCGTTTCAATATTTGGCAATTAAAGTCCATAAGAAAGGAAAAAATCAGTTTCAAGCCATTAGCGTCTGTTGGACACGGATGATGTGAATGAGCGCATTGGTAATTAGAATCCTACTATTCACGCCAGGGGAAACAAAAACCTAATTCCAAGTATTTTGGGTGGTGCACAGGCAGTACGGCAAAATACGATGCAAAAATGGAAAAATTCCAAAGATTCAATTCGATCAGAAATGACCAGAGCCGGCGGAATTCATAGAATTCGTTCGTTCGTAGCATACTGCACATCAGTAACTTCTTCTAATCTTAATAGCATACGTTACAGTTGGAACCGACAGAAAGTACCGCTTTTCTTATTCAATTTATGTACTGAATTTATGTGAAGCAGTGTTAGATTAAGACTCGATTTGCATGCATTTTCCAATCATCTTGCTATGCGCCACCCCGGATGTACTCAATGCCTAAGAATTGTTAAATAAAGTGAAAATGTTTCCAAGAAATTTCCATATAAACATTGGTCTCGAGGCTTGAGCGAAAGGCATTTCAGCTTTTCAAAACAATATATTGGTAAGACTGGACAATATTTAAATTGAATTGAAAAACCTTTCTATTAAAAAAATTAAATTACAAATTTTATCAAAACTGTTTCATGCGATAGTTGAAAATAATCCGACATAAATAAAAATGAGAAGACCAGTTACTCAAACGATTGTTATACATGCGTTTCTTTTTGTGAGTATTCTGCATTTAGTTGTTTGTGTATTTGTGTTCATTGATTGTTATTAATTTATTTACTACAGTTACTCGATATACCCAAATAAGTCTGTTACTTTGGCAAAGTGACTCAGTAAATTAATATGTAGAACAGCAGATATTTTGGAAAATCATTAACTTGATATAAATTATATCCAGAAAAATATATTCCTTAAGGATTCATCTGACGTGGCGCCAATTTATGAATTTTGTTTTCAAAACTGCAATAAGGTAGTATGTCATATCGGAAGATTTACTTTAGTGAAAAAATGCCATTTTAGAGATGGTCGAACAGTGGTGATCATTATAAGACATAAGATAAACGAATATAAATTTCCGTTATATCCAAAATACTACCTCGAGATTCGGACACTCAACAGTAAGCCACATAACACAAAACAATCTATTTGTTGTAAAATGTGCAAATCTCGAGGTTAAAGCCGTGAGCTCTCGTCAGCTAATAGGCTCGAAACCGGTCCTGGGGGTGCCTGAGGTTAGCGAACCTACCTCGAGATTTGCACTGTCTTACATGATTTCTGATCCTGATGATTCATATCGACGAAATTCTCGTCTTTGATCTATTTATTATTGAAACTACCGCCTTCACCTAACCGAATCCTCGTCTTCTAAATTTATAATTTTTTCTTCAATAAACATGTGGCAATTGTTATCACAGGCTGCCTTGGGAAAAGTACTCTTTTGACGAATCCTTGAATTTTTAAATCACCCAGTATTTCAGTTTATTTAAAATAGTCAAATGTTTTATCTTAACTATAGTTTCTATAGAAACTATGTAGTCAGACATGTTCAATGCACAAGAGAAATATTACAAGTTTTAAATATTTCTGAATTCCTATCAAAATGGAATCAAATCGGTTATTTTTAATATCGATGCCTGATGTGTAAGTAATATTACAATATTAAGAAGTTCTGCTGTGAAATGTGGAAGAAACTGTAAGTAGTGAATGGGAAGCTAAGTCTTTATTATAATTTTTCGAATTCGAATTCTAAATAACGGATTGAAGAAGTATACCTGTATGTCCAAAATGTACCAATACATTTTTATTTATAACTCTGGCTTAGCCAGGGCCATAAATAAAATAATAGTAAAATCAAGAAAGCTTCCAAAAGAAACAATTAAATAATAATAAAATAATTTAATAATAAAGAAGGCAAAGAAATAATAAAAATAATAAAGATAGATAAATAATTAAATAATTTAAAAATAATAAAAATTAATAAAAAAATAAAGAATGCAAAGAAAAAGCTTCCAAAAGAAACAAACTGACGATTACATTTATAATTTTGATTTATAAGCTATAGCCATTTAATAAGTCACCACCACAATATGTGACATCATGTGAATTAATCTCCACAACTCATTAATCATATTAAAATTATTTAACTCAACCACTGTTATATTTTCAATGTTTTATGATGAAGTTTTACAATTTATGAGTACGCATTTTCTTCAAAATCAGGTTTTGATTTGATTGAATACATATTAGAAATTGTATCTTAAAAATGTAACTCACAGTTTTTGGAAAAAAAAACACGGTTCTAAACATAAGTTACTTAGAAAGTTTCTTATTCGTAGCTTTCCCCCCGTAGCACAAACCAGCTTTTTTAATGCTCTGGAAAAAATTCATGTTCGAACTGGACTAAAGTTCAAAAATTGCACTGTTACTTAAATGCAGTGTTTAATATTATATATGAAACGGCTGGTGATATTCAAAAGAAAATTATAAATTGTAGGCTGAAAATCTTCTGAACATTATTAGTAATTAGAAGCCGATTGAAAAGTTTTTTCTATCCCATGTGAAGCATTTAACGCAGCCTTAACTCCGTTAACCAACACTATAATTGAAACCGCAGTCCCTAATGGCTTAAATAAATGATTTTTATGCAATGAGAAATTCTCAGAAATATTTCATGATATGTTATAACACGATTTATCAGATGTCTGCGTCACGGCTATCGCTTTAGAATTTTTTAAAATTGTTATATTCTTAGGATTTAATCAAAAATTAAATATTTATCTACTACAAAATAACGACGTCAATGAAAAAATTAAAAAGTGTTTCTTGGTTTCAAAACTGTTTGTTGAGCAAACTACACCTAGAAACTTAATACGTACTTACTTCTTTGTGAACTAATAGTAGTTTTATATCGAGATATAAAATAGGAACTTCTTTAAACATCACCTAAAGCTTTATATCGTACAAAACATCATTTATCTCGATATATTTTAAGTGAAAAATCAACAGATCATATATAAAATTTCACTCAGTCTTTCTGTATTTGCATAAAAATATGTGCTCATATGTTCCTCGAAATATACGAGGCAAGACTTTGCAAATATAGGAATACGCTTACTTTAATATATTTTATGATTATTCAATAAACATACGTCAAAATTAAAATAATAATAAATCACAGGTGGCGTGGAATGGCTATCGATTTGTACGTTCAAAATATCGTATTTATATAAAATTTGGGGATCAAAATGACTCATCAAATAAGATTTTTTCTGAATATGTTACAGAAATAATAAAACCGTTGTCCCCAGATTGGGAGCCTTTCAGCAAATTATGCTACAGGTTTCACATGTTCTTACTACGTTTATTTTAAATTCTTTTCAGAAACGTGCGTTTTATTCAAAAAATATATTTTGTACATTATAGTAGTATTGGAAACTGATTAATATTTTGTTGAACAAGTATTGACAAATTCAAAATTGTGTTTTCGGTTCCAAGTTTAAAAAATCTTATTTGATAAGATTAGAAAAAAGGCAGTTCTGGTTAGGCCGGGGTGAGGGTAAAAGTAACTGTTAAAGGAGAGGGTTGCTTTTGAAGCATCGGTAAAAAAACGACAGCTGGTACCACTCTGCGATCTGCAGCAGAGTCTTCTAGTAAAAAAGCTTGCATTACATACCCCGGTGCTTCGGCAGAAACCTCCTCTTGTGATGTTTCGGCGTGGGGTTGTGGCAACGCATAAGTGGCTGGTAACTGAGCTTTCCTGGCAACATCTTGTAAGGACTGACTTAATTCCATAGGTAATTCGGCTACGCTGATTCTGGATTTGTTTTTCGTTGCAGCTTCTGAAAGCGATGGTTTGCTCTGTTCGGAGTTTTCCTCCATTTTAATATGCAGAGATTCCAATTCTTCTAATTTTTGTTGACCTGGCTGATCATTATTTATATCAGTGTGCCCATTAAATAAAGGGGGCAGAAACGGATGATGACTATACATGTGCCGTTGAAACAAATCTCTTTCTAAAAAGGATTGAGGACATACTGGGCACTTTAGAGGAATATTTTCATTTATAGTGTGAGTTCGTTCATGGATAAATAATAAAGGTAGTAATGTAGAAGTGTATGGGCAATAGGAACATTGATAGGATTTTGAGTTTGCCTCATCTGAACCGAAAATTGTTGTAAGTACATTTTGAATTCCGATCGATTTGCTATTTAGATCCTGATTTCCATTTGTTACTTTTAAATTTGGACTTGCGCGTTCGATTTTTATGGCCTTGGAAGGCTTGCTGTTTTGACCAAGCGACTGTTGGACTTGCTGCTCTAACTCTAGCCACTTATCAGCACCTGCCTGTCCGTGGTCATTTAACATGTGAGACTTTAGCCATTTGGTGCTTCGGAATCTTCTGCTGCACATCGGACATACTTCTGTAAAGTGGGTAAAGTACCTCTGACTTAAATCAGCAAGATCGCTTGGCTTTAGAGAAGGCTCTGGCTCTGGTGTTGAAAGACGGGGTTGCAATGGAGGTTGTTCTTCGGGCTTCCTAGGCTGCAAAAGGCTGGCACCATATTCCACAATTCCATGCGTATTATGTTTGTGTACTCGAAGGAAATATTTACTGCACAATTCTTTATTGCAGATATCACAAACTACACCTCCTATTTGAGCCCCATTTTCGATTTCAATACCATGCATTCTTTGCATATGGGTCTTCATAAAATATTTGTTGCACAATTCTTTGTTGCAAATTTCACAATAACTGCTAGTAGGTGTGACATTGACTGATAGTCTGCGTTCTGGAGCGGAAACACCAGACACAAAGATTTTACTCGGTGGTTTATCTGGCGATATATTTTCATTCCCATACTCTTCCTTATTGTTGTCTGGAACCGAAGTCAAGTTTGAATGTACCTCCAGAATATGTGCCTTCATTTCCGCGGAATTCTGAAAATCTTTTCCACATAAATCACATATATTGGCGTTGCTACTGTTTTCAGAGTCATGACTTTTTTCTAAATCCGTGTTATCTTCCAAAAGGAGGCCGTGTTCGGTGACCATATGCGCATGTAAATAGAATCGATTTTCAAATTCTTTATTACATGAACTACATGTTGTCGAAACTTTTGTCACGTCTAGGTCATTTAACTGAAGGATCATCGACTGCAATTTCTGTAGATCCTCACTTATAGCGTCAGGATTTCTGGATTTATCAGAAGTTGTAATCCTGCATTTCTCCAGAAGTTTTCTTGAATCAGCAGCTACCGGTCCAAAACCCATATCCAAATTACTCTCAAAATCTTTGGGTGTGGTTTTGGAATGTACGGTATAGTTATGTAAATGGGCTAAGCTGGTATTTTGGAACTTAATACCGCATATTTCGCAACTTATGTCGTTAGGAGATGTAGTTTTTCGGTCATTCGCAAATGCTTGTTCAGTTACAATAAGATTTAATGGGCTTGTCTGAATGGTAGAAGGCCACGAATTGTTGCTCAATCCTTCCATCTTTTGGTCTTTTTCATCACTAATAAATATTCCATGACGTTTCATTTTATGCGTGCGTAAAAAATATTTATTGCAGTACTCTTTATTACATATTTCACAATAAGCTTTGGGATTCATAACGCCTATTCTGCGAAGCCTACTCGAAATATCCATTTCTCGATTAGACTGACTAGGAGACATTTTGGCAGAATCATAAAATAAAACAGCAGTTCCATCAGATTCGTTTTTGGTTGAGGTAGGTTCGGCTTGGGTAGTACCAGGACTAGCACATACATCGGTACCCTGATCTTCAGATATTAATTTATCACTTTCACTCGAAGATGATGGACCATTAGATGTCGAAACGGAAATTGGATTCTGAACATCGTTTAGCTCGTTTTCTGTTAAGACTCCTGACTGTTTCGAGAGCTTATTTGAGAAGGAACAAGGAAATACTACGCCATACGGGTTTAGAGCATTAATCGAAGTTTTCGATTCGTTTTTTAAGGATACATCTAGACTTGGCACGGACGTCGATAGTTTCAAATTCATGGTGGATGTAGTAGATGTCATATTCACAGTAGTTGGCAGTTGGTGTTCAGTTGCTATTAAGTCGGTGTAAATACCATGCTTATTAGCTTTGTGGGTTTTTAAAAAATATTTATTACAAAACTCCTTGTTGCATAAACCGCAATACGCATCAACATTAAATATTCGAATAGGTTTAATTTGAACGTTTTCTGGTTGATGGAATTGGGGCATTGTCATAAACACCGGATTATTAGTACTAAATGACATGTTTTGCATATTGTGATTTCCCCAGTCTTTGCTATGCATATCTCCTGTCCATTGTATTTCGGGTCTGTGCATTGAAAGACACAGAGGAACATCCGTAAATGCAGGAGTAGTAGATCTTGCATCATCTTCTTGCTCCTCTGACTCTGTTTTGCATCCAACATAGTGATGTCCACGAGAAATGTGGTTTTGCAACTGTTCAGATGTTTCAAATTCTAATTGGCACATGTGACATCGTAAATCGATATTCTCAGGAGACTCTGCTGGTTTTGAATCCAAATATGGTGATAAATGAACAGAACTATCTCCTGCACTTTCCGATTCTGAATTGTAGATCCTGATCGGAGTAGATTGTTTTCTACGTTTTTTGCAAGAATCTGTGGTTGATGGTAAACTACGGCAACGCTTGGAACTTCTGGTTGATTCGAATTCTGATTCGCTGTTTGATATTTGGTCGCGTGCTGAAGTATAACCTCCATGTGGTGGACCAGTGCCTGAGGGTATTGTGACGGATGTCATTGTTTTTCCTTGTAGGCGACATGCAATAATCGTATAGGTCCCTAAAACAATAACAAAGCCATCATCAGTTGAAAATCAATAAAAGCATGTGGTAATTACTGATTTATGTTTTTTCTGATATAGCTCTAAGGAAGTAATATTTTTATAAAAAAAATGTAAAATAAAATTTTAAAAAGCATCAAAACATTTTTGACAGACTTTCTGTTGAATAACGAACTAAATATACTTTGGCTAAATATGTGACAGTTCTCAGGCTCAATTCAGGCCCTTATCGGTAGAAATAACATCATCAAATTTGTGAGTTCTCAAAAAAGGTGTCCATTTCCGAATACAAAACAGGAATTTTTGTAGTAACCAACTAATATAGTAGATTTTCTTCAATGTGCTTTTACCATAATTACGCATTAATTTTTTTAGAATTATATTTTAAACAGTAATGTATTTACTAAGTGTAGTTTAAACTTTTGCTAATTTTGCTCTCGAAATATTGCTTTTGATATCAGTGATGCTACTAAGGTGAGGTCTCAGGTGCATTTTTCTCTACCAAAGTGTCTAACGTTACCAAACGGCGGATAGTTTCCCAACAGATCACATTTTGTGGCGCCGTTTAAGACATATGGCATGCAATACTAGACAGAAAGACACTGACGACTCAAACATATATTGTCTAGTGAATAATCTAGTTTTCGTCTGTAGAAAGCATAAATATTGCCCAGCCAGAGTAAACCAATCGTTACTGGGATGCTGTTGCTAACAAGATACTGCGTCGCACGTATTGTTCCGTGCCACGCAGTATCCGTAATAATAGTAGGTAATCCACACTGTATACGTAGATGTTACCGGCAAATTACGAAATCCGACAATCTGTATTACGCAAACTGACCAACTCGCCAGGCACGTTGGAGAATCGCTACTACTTTGGGTAATCTGCAAATTGACTACGATATTCTAGGCAATCTCCAAATGCCGTTGTACTCTTCACATTGACTAGACAATCTGTATAACACCTGATGCCGCAAATTGTTGCTGTTTATTTTAGTGCCATTTGGTAATTGCTATTAAAAGAGCACATTTTTGGTGGAATATAATTTATAATGCAGTGAAAGGACCCTGTAATACTGTGAACATCGCTCGGCAGAAGCGAGAGCATAATCGAAATTCTTCACAAAAATTTAAGAAAATATTGTAATTACGTTATTTAATATTAAAATAATTCATAAACGATAATAGGATAAATACAAAACACAAGTCTTTACCTCCATGATAATGCATCATATTCGCGAATGATTTTTAATTTTTTGAGATATTTACAAGAATATGCTCATTTAGTTTTCATTCACGGTAATTAAATATTTTCAGCCTATGATTTCTTGAATATGTTGAATGTTTCTTCATATTGTCTTTGATTCCTCAGTGGTATCGATTGCCATTATTTTCCACACTGCATTATATTAAAAATCTGATACCAAACTATTACAAAAATAACAAATTTCTACAAGAATACAAACAAAGTAATAATCAAAAATCGACATCTTGCTAACGCGGTAATTTCTACCTGCAATTTGGGGAACAAAACCGAAAAGTTTGCTTGTAAAAATCTAGACAGCAAATTTTCGTTGCAATAGTAAAATCAAAGTTTCACAGCATCAAGTATTATACCCACTCTCTAGTCAATGTGTAGGTTAAACATATCTAAAACTCAGATTGACTCGTGCATACGGCATTCTGCAAAAAAAGATAATGATAAAAAATAACAGATTATTTTTTAAAATATTTTAAAACATATTTTTCGCGGTAGATCAATATAAATGCATATTTCAATGTATTTGTAAATGCTGATCTATTTTGCTTATGCAGATAAGCTACTTTATTTCTAGCAGAAGCAAAAAAAGCAGTTGCATTTTACGTTTTGCACAATGCAGAAGCTAATAAAAATACGTTTTTCATGAAATTAAAATTGTTCTGCATGGCATACCTACTGTATATTTATTATAATATTAATCAACAACTTGGAGGATATTTTATGTGTGCATTGAAAATAATGCTAAAATCTATTTTTGTCTATGAAATATATTATATTCAGTGACAGCAATAACATTGTACCTGTAATACTGTCTGCTTATGTGGATGACGATATCTGGTTTCAACAAGAAATGCAAACAAGTGGATTGGGTAAGGGGAAATGCAAGGGTAAGCTCGCTTCGCTGATTTAAAAAGCATTCACTTTTTTATGGGGTCGCATGAAAAATTGGGCGTGTAAACAATAGTCAGATCATTCCGATGAAGTTCACGAGCGTATTAATATGTTTGTATATTATGATACCTACATCAATGTTGAAAAGGTGTAGAATGGACGAAAAATTTAAAGATCGACATTTTAGACATGCACTTAACTGTTAACATTTTCATTTTTATAATTGCTCCACGCAATATGCGCAACGCAAATTATTTTATTTAAATTATTACTTCCATGAGAATAAGAGAGATTACAATTGTGTCACTTCATGAAATGTCAATATAGCTCATTATAGAATATTTTGGGCATATTATGCGCTGATAGATTATGATTCCAGATTACGTGTATGCTTTTTGAACTACCAGGTAGATTTCTCAATCTTCAAATGCTCCGTCGTAAGACGTATAGCTCGTCGACTCTAATGTAAGTGCTGATCACAGATTATTCATACTCATACCCGCCGCAAATTCGTTCCAATATCAATTAGGAAGTTGTAAAATCCAGATTGTCAACATGCTGACGTACATGAATGTTGATTTCTTCAGCACCCAAAGCAACAAAATTATATTTTATAATCTTCAAGTGCTTTGAATTATATTTTTTAAATCGAGTAATTTTGCAGACACGATTAAATAAACATCGCTCCAAATAAGACTAAAGTTTTTTCAATCCTCTAGCATTTTATGATTTGCTGATGTTCTCCAGTGCGCAAAACACAACGAAAAAGATTAAATTGATTCGATAAATATTTTATTATGTAGCAGTAGAATTTCGCCAAAGATGACTTGCGACCAGAGTTACAGTAGACCACCTACACTCAAATAATTTGTACGATCTAAACACTCATAAACAAACAATTCTTGCAACAACTCTATTATTGCCAAATAAATTAAGTAGATACGGTTTCATAATAATTATTATATCAGTTTAATCTAAATCCACTTGATGAAAAAATTCTCGAATTTTATGTGTTCATAATTAAATTATCTACAATATCTGTAGATAGATATTTCTAATATTCTACAGTTTTTTTGGTGTACAGCGTGCAAAAATAACGTTGTTAGTGACCGAAGACATATAAGAAAAAACCATCAATTCAATGGAATTTAACAGCGGTGTTGACGAAAGAGTAACAGTGTTATCGAAATCAAATCACTGTCCGATAGGAAACTGTGTTATAAGAATCCGTTTAAATAAAACAACTCAATTGAAACAAAAAAATATGTCCTCTAAATAAAATGAGGTTTACTGTAAAAACGAGGAAAATGGAAAGAATTTGAACTGCACATATTTTTCTCATGTATATTTCCCAGGCCTTCTGTATTCGATAACAAGTTTTATTTACAAATAGTTATTTAAATGGTTTATATATGGCGATATTTTTAATTGACATGGCTGACATGTTACTCTGTTGCATACTGTAGTCAAATCCCTAGTAAACTCCTTTAGGAACAAGGTTTGATCATATTTACTTTAGCATTAAAATTAAGTCAATAGTAATTTTGCCTGTTTTAGTTAAGTTCGTATAATAAATTGTATTTTTTTTGTTTTTGGCAAAACTGTATACATTTTTTGCTATTTTGAATCAAGCTCTAGACATTATCAGGTTCAAAACTGTAGCTGAGAATCGCCGAGTTTTGTCAAACATGTCTAGCTGATATGGCTCAATATTTTTTTACAAAATTTACTCAAGCAACACAAATGCAGCAAAAGAGGAACGTGCCTGTTATAAATTCTCATGAGGGAAAAAGAGCGCAGCTGCTGCAGTTCCTTATTTTTATGGCTTGAATACACCTTTAAGGCCGGTTAACAAGGACAAAGCAATTATTTTTCGAGAATTAGTTGGATTTTTTAATGCACTTTACTGGAAATAGCCAACATGTTACTGATACGTACGAGATTGAACTGAATTTGATTTTGAGATTACAAATTGTGATTTTTAAAATGTTGCTTTATTAAAGTCGCATCAACACCATTTCATGATTGATTTTGTAATCACAAAATTCACTGGACTGTGTAGATGAGGTTCTACTGTTGATATACATTCAGTAAAGTTATTCTACGAGACGAAATATTAAATAGCAAAAACCGCAAAACTGACAAGCCCAAAAAATTTTCTTTTTAATATTAAAAAACCAATGTGAGGAAGAACTACAAAAAGGTATAGAAGCAGAAAACTATGACTTGAAAATATAGCTGGTCTTTGGTATTTAGCTTTTAGTACTCAGATTCGAAATAAAGCAATATATTACTCATATTCCTCCATCTTCCATATTTCGATATTCCTACTGAGAAATATCGAAATATTCTATTCTACATTTCAAGTCTGCATATTCAAAAGCCTCAGCTTTCCAAAATACCACTGCCACTGTTATCAAATATACAGGGTGATTTAGAACTATGGGTTTACTCCCATAATCTAGAGACTATTAAGTGCATCAATAGAAGACATTTCAGTATAAGAACGCATGAAATGTCTTCTATTTTTATATATCTGAAAAGTGTCAATCAGATCTTGCTGTGTTTCCACTGGTGTTGGTAGTTCAATAATCGGTTATCTGACGCATCTGCTCAAAAATAATAAGGTATTAGATCGGGTAACCAAAGGGGTCCACGGAATCGGACTACTTCGGTCGATCCAGTGTTTTCTGTGGTAATTGTTCAAATACTGATGGTTTTCAACAAAACAGTATGCAGCCACTTTTAAAGAGCCCCTGCCCAGAGAGAATATATATCATCTGAACATTGCGCGTTTAATGAATTTACGACAAAACTTAGCAGAATTACTAACTAGGCAAGCAAACA